ACTACTTTGACAAGTGAGGCTTCCTCATACTTGTAACTGCTTTTCAAGTAGTCGTAGGTTGCTGCTAGATCTCCCGTTCACTGGACTAAGGGGTTAAGCCTAAGGGGTTAAGGTTTTAGGCTCTAGGCTCTGACTTGTGAGCCCTCTGTAGGACAGGATTCCCATCCATCTTGAACTAGGGTGGGAGGAGCGAAGGGGAGGCAAAATGGAGTGGATATCTCAAACAGCCTCAGCAGTGCTTAGCAGAGGGGGATAAAAACTCCTCTTAGGCGAAGCAAGGCCAGCAGACTATGATTGCTCATTTTTTGTGGTTTGCCTCATCATCAGAGCACACTGTTGGCTCATGTTCAACTTGTTGTCCATCATGACCCTCAGGTCCTTTTCAGCAAGGCTGCTCTTCAGCCAGTCAGTTCCCATCTTGTACTGATGCATGAGGTTATTTTGCCCCGCATGCAGAACTCTGCACTTCTTTTGTTCAGTCTTCGTTTCCCAGTGTCTTGTGTGGTCTAAGGCTCTACTGCTTGACGGGTCAACTCACCTTCCGCTCCCCTTCCTACCCCTCCTCTCCCTCCTCCCCCCAAACTTAATGTCTTCTGCAAATTTGTTGATGGTACATCCTGTTTCATCATCAAGATCATTAATTAAGATATTGAAGAATATGGGTCCCATAAAGTGGCTCTCCCAGTGAGCTTTACTTTTTAGTATCTACCAGCCAGTCAGCAAGCCCTTTGAGTCCAGTCAGTTTCAAACTCATAAAACAGTCTGTATATCCAGCCCGTATTTCTTCCACTTACACATTAGGCTGCTGTGGGGAGATAGAACTTGACTTCTGACACTATTATATCTGTTGTCCCCTGTTTATATAGTCAGCTATTTCTTGATAAAAGATAGTGAGTTGGATCAAGCATTTGGAGATGGATTCCAAGTGGACATTTTTCAGGAGGACTTTCCAGGTACTGAGATGAGGCTGACTAGCCAAATGTTCTCTGAGTCTTTTTCCTTGCCTTTCTTAAAGATGAGAATAAGGTTAACTTTTTCCCAATCTTAGGGGACTTCTCTCCATGACCATGACCTATCATAGATGATAGAATGCAGCCTTGCAATACATCAGTCAACTCTGCCAGCACCCTTGGGTGAATCCCATTTGGCCCTATTCATCTGAGCATATCCAGCTTTCATAAGTAATCTCTAAACCGTTGATTCTCTGCTGTTCTCCCTTTCATTCCACAGTGAAGCTGAGACCTATGAGCAGGCTTTGTCTATGAAGACTGAGACAAAAAAGGTACCGAGTACCTCAGTCTCTTCTTCTATGTCTCTTGCTTGTCTCCCTTCCCCATCCTTCAGTAGACCCATGTTTTTCCTGAACTTCATCTTGTAGCTAGCATGCCTGTAAAATTGCTTCTTTTTATCCTTAACGTATCTTGCTAGTCTTAGCTCTAACTGGCTTTTGGCCTTCCTATTTTGTTAAAAGTGCTTTTATCTTCCTTATTTATTTCCTGGTTTTGTCTCTTTTTCCATTTCCTGTGTGGTCCCTTTTTGCATGTTAACTCCTTAAGAAGCTCCCTGCTTAGCCAGGTGGGTCTTCTGCCGAAAGTTCCAGAGTACCTGCACAAACAGGGTCTGTCACTCATGAACTCTCAAGTGTTCTTTAAAAATCAGCCAGCTCCTCTGGGCACTGTTTTGCTTTTGGCGGCTTTCTAGGGAATTCTCCCCAGCAATTCCTTAATTAAGCCAAAGCTTGCTTTACTAAAGTTCAGGGTCCTGGTTCTGCTGCTTCCCTTCCCAATCTTCTTCTGTATCCTGGGCTCAGTTACCTCATGCTTGCTGGAGCCTCGGCTCCCATTTGTGCTGTATTTGCCATCATCATTGTTTCTTCCTTGTTTGTGAGCAGCAGGTAAAGTAGAGCACAAATCCTGGTTGGCCCCTATAGCATTTCTATCAGGAAGTTGGTCACCAGCACATGTTAGGAACTTCCTAGGTTGCATGCCTAATGCTGTTACCTTTGCAGCTGAAATATTCCATGAGCATCATGGTCTGCAATCTGGAGATGTTTTGTGTGGTTTTCATAGAAAGCCTTATAGGCCACCTTTTCTGTTAAGGTGGTCTGTAATACTATTTTTAGTGTTATTCTCCCCTCTGATCGTGACCAGGAGACTCTCAGTAGGCACAGGATTGCATTCATACTGAGCTTTATACTGAAGCTCTCCATAGTCAAGGAACTATTTACATGTGCATCTACTGAAACATAAAGAATACAAGCAAATCGCTTCCCCTCTTGCCATCTATCTTTCCTAGACAGTCTGCATCCATCTATGACAGGCCAGATGAGCTTTGGCTGTGCCTCTATCATCATGGATGTGGGCTCCAGGCAAGCAGCAGACTTCCCTGGAGAGTAGGTCTGGTGAGCAGGGAGCAGGTTGGGGCTTCTGTCCTGTACAGGAGGGAATTGCCTACCACTAAACATTTTTTTTTTTTTTTTTTTTTTTTTTTTTTTTAAAAGTGCTGGCCCTAATCTGACTATCTGAAATGCTGGGTGACAAATTGCTGGGCAGATCTCTCTTCCCCCCCACCCCGTTGTTGCCAGAGTTGTCCTTGTTTTCTAGATTAACTGCCGTGAATGGGGATGGAGAGTTCTTCCTGTTGCTGGATGTTGCTATTCTCAGAATTCTGCCTATCTGGGAGTTGATGTTGGATTCCTGCTCTAGTCTTGCTTTGGTCCTACTTTCCTTCTCACCCTAAAGGGGCTTGTGCTCTTGCCTCTGCAGTCTTTGAAGACCCTCTCAATCTCCTGTTCATGATCCCTGATCCAAAGATGCCTGCTCATTTCTTCTTGCTCGGCCTTCTGAGTGCAACAGCACATATCTAAGAGGCAGAGCTGCTGTCCACCTTCAGGAGCTCTGTCTGGGTAGTGGTTGCTGGAGGTGGCTGCCCCAGCAGGGACAGAGGATTGCCTCCCATGGTCTCATTGCCACTGTAGCTCATTTTCTGTGAGCAGTACTTCTGGGTCCCCTGCATGCTGTCTGCTACTAAATGGCCTCACACCTGTTTGCACATCTTATTAGCTGTACCTTGTTTGCTGGCATACTCTGGATAAATAGAAAGCTAGATGTGATTCTGCTGCACCTTTCTCTGAGACTTTCCATACATGAGAACCTCTCATGCTGAGTCGTGATTCATGGACCACTTGTGCTGCATGCTGCTTCATCCTGAGCTGTCATCCAAAAAAGGAAAATAGTAAGTAATAGAGGAGAAAACAAAGATGAGCACTGTATTTCTAGGTCAAGGTCCCCCCCCCCCCCCCTTTTAAATTTAAAAAAAAAAAAAAAAACACCAAATGATCAAAC